ATTTAATTTATGGCGGTTTTAACGAAGAAGTTGTGGTCAACGGAAGTGCAATGGCACAACTATAAATCTTCTCTCTCTCTCTCCTCCTCGAGCAGCAACAAATTTTCGATGGCGATTTCATCGTCATCCATTGTCTAATTCAGGTGAAATTGGTTGCAAAAGTTTCGTATTGACATCCTCTATCTAACCCACCCATTTTCCCCACCCATTTTCCCAGCTGAAAAACCCAAGGAAATTAAACTAGAGTAACTGGAAGTTTGGTTGATTTTTGAAGTTTTCAATGTCGTTTCTGTGAGGTATGATACTTCATCTACTCTTCATGATCTATCCGTTTATGTGGGTATTGTAGATCGATTTTGAGGTTTTACTGATCATTCAATATACCCATATTAGGCTAGCGGTTTGGCCGTGATTTCATCTAGCTCCGGTCACGTTTTGGCCATGGTCCAAGAACAAAGAGTGTTTCCCTTGTTAGTCTAAACTTATTGGCATAGGTATTGTAGGCCATGGTTTGGAATTTTCTCAAGCCACCCACGCGTTGCAGGCGCGTATGGCAGCGCATGGGTCATGGTGTGGCGGCCCATTGTGTTCTAAAATGTTCCCCATGTCGTCCTGAGCGTGTTGGTATGCTCGGATTCGAATTTAGTTATCGTATGACAGTAGAACGGATGTACGCCGATTAAGCGATATCCGGTTCGATAGATTCGGACCGTTGGATTGGTTCCAACTTCAAATATGTCGTTCCTTGTGCCTCTAGGATCATGTAGGAATTCGCGGATCGAGAATCGAAGTCCTGGATACTCAGAATCTTTGAGTCTATGGTTAGGCGAAGAGATCGCTGTCCGATGGTGCGATTGGTTTAAATCTGACCGCTCGATCAAGACCAAACTTTCAGGACATGTTCAATAGACCTTGTTGGAACTCTAGGAAATTTCGGGTTTGAAAATCATAGGTCTTGGGCCCCGCAGGCCCCGTTGACCACGGGTCTTTTGAGACCCTCCCGTCCTTTGGAAAGTACTAGAATAACCTTAGGACTTCTTTAAGATGGCGGGTCCATGTTAAGTCTCGGGAACTGGGGTTTGATTTTAAATGTGCGGTTGAGGCCGTATAACGAGTTTTGGTAGTGTTTGGACTTTTGATTTAGTGTGCATTACACTCTGAACATTTGAAAGGTATGTTAATAGTGCTTTAATTTTGAGATTATAATATTGTTTAATTGTGGTTATTGGCCTTTATATTGATATAAATGAAGCTTTGGGGATGGTGTGAAGTGATGCATGATTTGATGTTGAATGACGATAATTCCTGTGTGAATCTGGAATTCAATTATGATTGTGGAAGCCGAATCAGTTGGTATTTACTATATTGGTTTGAGGTTATGAATGTGTGGGGTTTGGAGTATATGCTTTTGAGAGTTTGCTGTCCATACTACAATCTTTTGAATTATGGAAGATATGATTATGGGATTTCCAGGGAGTACTACTGTTAGTATTATTATTTTTTAATTATTATTATTATTACTGTCATTACTATTATTATATATATGGGTTTGGGGTACCTTTGAATATTTGGAAATTGGATTTCGAGAATATCATCTTTTATTATATATATTAGTTTATGAAAGTGTTTTATGGATTGTCTTGCATATTTATATACTTTGGATTATTTTGATTATTGAGACTAAAATATTTTGGGTCTTTATGGAATTTATGCTTGTGAGAGTCTATTTTCTATACTTTCAATAAATACTTTGGTTACATTGGAATATTGAAAATTTAGAAAAATTGAAATAAGGGAGGGTATATTATTTTTTATATACCATCATACGTACCTTCCCTGGTTACTTTACCCACACATGGCGTTGGATTTTCTGGCGTGTGGGTTCACTTGAATATTGATTACTATTACTTTACCACACGTGGTGTTGGATTTTCCGGCGTGTGGTGAAGGTTCGAGCACCTTTGGCGGGACAGTTTGCGTGAGTAGGACATGGTTTGGTTTGGCCACACGTGGCGTTGGATTTTCCGACGTGTGTACTGTAGAGCGGTAGTCCCCCGGTTGAACAGTTCATCCTTAGATGCAGGGTAGAAAGTTGAAACCTTGTGGGCTAGTCAAACGATCCTCGTGTTGGATTGTTTTTCCTTGGTACATGATGTGCATTATGATATGTACCTTCCCTAGTTACGTAACCCACATGTGGCGTTGAATTTTTCTGGTGTGTGGACTCCCTTAGTTAGTATCACTTTACGGCACGTGGTAAAGATCTGAGCACCTTGGGTCGGGTGTGCCGTAGGCCTTGACATGTAGTCTACGCACGTAGAACTTAGATTGGCCACACACGGCGTTGGATTTCTGGCATGTGTGCTGTAGAGCAGTAGTCCCCCGGTTGGACGGCTTGTTCCTTAACAACATGGTTATTGAGGAATCTTTCATGTGGTCTAGTAAAACAATCCCCCGGTTGGATCGTTTTCCCCTGGTACATGATGATGGTGTGTGTGTGTGTATATATATATGTGGGAAAATATGTGGATTCGTTTTCGGGTTAGGGTTTCTTGATCATGTGCATGGTGAGTGCTCTACACAGGCGTGCGTATAGTTTTGATGTTTGGACAGTGTTGTTTTCAACATACGCCTTGGATAGGGTATGGTTGTTGGAAAGAAATGATTTTGGAAAAGTAGCTTGAGTCTTAGAGTAAATGTTTAGTTTTAAAGGAGTTATGCATAGGGTTTGTGAGTTTCTACAGGGAAATGGTTTTGAGTTGAGTCATGGAAAGAAAGGAGTTTTTTTTAAAAAATATTTAGTTATATGCCTTGTGGGAATTGAAGTTGAGAATGAATCTAAATTTAATTGTGATTCTTTTTGTCATAAGAACTATGTGTGGCTTGATCCCTAACCAAGAGGTACGTAGGTAGCTTGGGGTTTCACCTAGGTGCAGCCACGAATTAAAGTATTACTTTTGTTAAGTTTGGTTTTGAATATGTCGTTGGGCTTGAAGCCCAGTCGAGGTGAGATTAAATGCTTGATTATATTTCAGTTTTACTGAATGGTTGTGGTTAAAATGTGTTTGTGGTTTATGACGGGTTTGAAACCCGTTTGGATTAATGATTGATTCTGGCCTGAGTCTTTAGAATTGCATGCTTTGGCATCATTTTACAAACGGTGGGGTAAGTATGTGGAAACTTTATTTTAATTCTCTCACGATTTTCTATTTTGCGCCCCAGGCTGTAGCTTGATATGAGCCGAGCAACCAAGCCAAGAATTGTACTTTTGCAACCTGAACTTCTGTAGGGCATTTCTATTTGTTTAATTTCCGTTGAACTTTATCCCCCATGTAGGGTTGGATTTAAGGCCGAAGGCCTATTCGGTAAACTGTGTGCTTTTACATTGTGTGTGCTACCAATTGGACTATTATTACTGTGTTTCGACAGGTTGAAATTTTGGGAAAAGTTCGTTTTTCAGGGAGACTCTGCCGAAATTTCGGTAGAAAGTCTCGAGTCTCTTTTACTTTATTGTTAGTAAGTGGGCCCAGCATCTGTTTGATGTCGGAAAAACCACAGGGTTCATCACGGATTCTGAGGAATTCGGGGCAGGTCCTGTCAGTTATGTTGTAGTTCTTGACATGTTACTTGAGACGTCTGTTCTTTTCTATAAGCATCGTCTAAGATTGTCGAAGTTTTCCTTTTTTTTGCGGTTTTATAGAATTTAGATGTCGGTTTAGTTGACGTAGTATAGCTTAACCACGACGGTTTTGACTTTATAAATGATGGTTTGTTTTCAAATAAAGACACAGTTAACGTTTTTTACGTCGGCATGTATGGAGTTCTTGACTTGTAATCTCCTTTAGATGTCTCTATTTTTCTAAAACCGTCGTCTAAGGTGTCGAAGTTTTCCTTTTTTGCTGTTTTTATAGTAATTAGACGTCGGTTTGTCTTTTGATATGACGTTGTATGTCTTAAAACGACGTCAGTTATTTGCCTTCGTTGTTTTATGTATCAAAAGATGGCGGTCAATTTCACGACGGTTTAAAAACCTTCTAGACAACGGTGGATTCTTGTTGTCTATTTTGATTTTTGTATTAGTGCAATGAGATTATTTCACGAACTTTATTTTAAGAACATGCATTTTGTTTTTTTCTTTTATGCCTTTTTTAGTGTTCTAAATTTCTTTACAATTTTTTTGATTGTAATTGAAGAAACTCAAATAATAAAAACATTGTAAAATAAAAACTAAACTTAAATATTACAATTTCTTTATTCATTTTTTTTATCAGGCGCGCTACACGACTTACAAAGTTTCTTTTTCAGGCCACTTCACCCACTTTTGGCTAGGGTTCGAGAACAAAACTTACTCCTCTTGTTAGTCTGATTGTGTTGGTATAGGTCTTGACCGGCGATTTGGAGATTTTCCTTAGTCGGAAATTTTTCATGACTCCCACCCTGAGTGGCGGCTTGTGGGCCACTGTTTGATGGCTCACTTTGGTCCTAAAATGTTTCCCCCCCATCATCCCGAGCACGACGGTTTGCTTGGATTTGAAGTTGGTTACTGTTTGACTATCAAACAGATATTGCGCCTATTATGCGATATCTACGATTGCTCGATTGAGACCAAACCTTCGGAGCTTGTTTAGTAGACTTTGTTGGACCAATAGGAACTTTCGAATAAAAAATTGGAGGTCGTGGGCCCCGCGGGCTCGGTTGACCAAATATAGAAAGTTTGACCGCTCAGTTCACCATGAGTTAGATGCAAGGTACTTGGTCTTTAGTTCCTTGTCCTAAACAGAAAAACATAGTTGGTAGCAAATGGGTTTACAAAATCAAGAGACATGAAAATGGTTCTGTTGCAAGGTATAAGGCTCGACTAGTAGCTCAGGGTTCAGTCAAGAACTAGGGTTAGACTTTAGTGAAACATTTAGTCCTGTTGTAAAGGCATACCACAGTGAGGTTAATTCTCAGTCTCACAGCTATGCACAAGTGGTCTTTGAGGCAATTGGATGTTAAGAATGCGTTCTTACATGGGGAGCTTGAAGTTTTTATGGGATGACCTCAAGGTTTTGAAGACTCCAAGCATCCTAAGTTTGTGTGTAAGTTGAATAAGTCTCTATATTGACTTAAGCAAGCTCCAAGGGCATGGAATGCCAAATTTACAGGATATGCACCAACTATAGGGTTCCAATCATCTCACTTTGATCCCAGCTTATTTTTCAAGCATGAAGGCACTGATATTGTCATTTTATTATTGTATGTTGATGATATAATCTAGACAGGTTCCAATGCACAGTTAGTGCAGACAGTGATTGATGATTTAGGAGCTGTGTTTGAGATGAAGGACATGGATCGACTTACCTATTTCCATGGCCTTCAAATGTCTTACAATTCTACATGTGACATTTTTGTACATCAGCACAAGTATGCTAAAGATCTATTGCACAAGGCTGGTCTGAGTAATTGTAGGGTTTGTCCCACTCCTTGCAAGCCACATAATCAAGTCTTAAAGTCTGAAGGAGAACCATTGCATGATCCTACATTTTATAGAAGTATTGTTGGTGCTTTACAGTGCTTGACATTCACAAGACCTGACTTATCCTATGTTGTCAATACTGTGTGTCAGTATATGACTGCTCCCATAGAGATACATTTCAACCTGGTCAAAAGAATTTTGAGATACGTTCAAGGTACTATGAATTATGGGATTCACTTTACTCATGGTCCTTGGCAGTTACAAGCTTATAGTGATGCTGATTGGGCGGGGGACTTAAATACTAGGAGGTCAACTACAGGTTTTGTGTTATTACTTGGACATAATCCTATCTCATGGCAGTCTAAGAAGCAGGGGTCTGTATCTAGAAGTTCAACAGAGGCTGAGTATAGGGCATTGGCCAATACAGCTGCATATTTGGCTTGGATTCGACATGTTTTGCTAGACTTGAAAGTGTGCTTGCCTCAACCTCCTACAATCTTTTGTGACAATCTGTCTGCTTGGGCACTTAATAGTAATCCAGTATATCATTCAAGAATCAAACATTTGGATATAGATTTTCACTTTATGGTTGAAAGGGTTGAAAGGAATGATCTTACTGTTCAGTATGTTCCTACTTAAGAGCAAATTGCAGATGTGTTTACTAAAGGACTTCATAGTCCTATTTTCTTAAGTCACTGTATTAGTTTGCGACTTGAAAATCCAGAGTAGGATCTAGAGTTGGGTTTGAGGGGGAATGATAACAATATTAGTTAGCTTATATTCAGTTAAGCTGTCACGTGTGTGCTCGCGTGTTGTTATTTAGTATTAGCTATAATTAGTTAGATTACAGTCTTGGTTATTGAGATATATAACACTGATGACACTATGATTGTAATAATTTTGTGAAATCAATATATAGAGCATATCATTTTCTCTTGAATCTTCTTCTTCTTTCTAAGCTTTCTTAATTCTTAAGCTTCCTCTTCTAAACTGTTAACATGTACATCATTTTTAGATCAAATTACACTTCTTTGATTTTTTTTCAAGTTGCCTGTTTTTATTTATTTATTATTTATAATTTTATTAGTTTAGTTTTTAGTGCTGTTGTCGCCAATTGTATCTTTAATAGTTAACAAACTATTGCAATTATGGTCAAAAAGCAGAATTTCCATCAAATGAAGTTTCCAGAATGCCAGTGGCGCATACTGTTGCAAAGATATTGTTATTGTTATCATGATACTTGAATTTAACCCTCATTGATTTTTTTTTTGTCAATTTAACACTTAAATTCTTTACAAATAGCCAATTTCACCCTTGCCATCAAGTCTTTGCATTCAATTTTATGTGAGGATTCACATGCTTGTCACGTGAGCAATATTTTTTAAATTCCAAAATTACAAATTAACTAATTAAATTTAGTATCAAGTCCTTCCCCCTCCTCTATATTTCTTTCTTGGGGTTTGGGGTGTGGATGTGGTGAAGAGCATGCTCTCAACAGCGGACATGGTTGGGGGTTTTTTTTTTGGTTGAAGGAAATGAATATTTTTTTGACCAAAAAATAAGGAAATGAATATTCCATTCCAAGCAAAAGCGATACAACAATTAGCTCTCAATTGAGGAACCTTAATTGAGGAACTTAAATGAGGACAGGTCGCAGCCGTTGGATAAACTTGGATGGTTAGATTAAAAGAGCCACTTAAGTTGCAATCGGGTTGTCTTCAACTCAAAACAAAGACCCCAAGCTTGACAAATACCGATGAAACACAGCTGGCCCTTCGTTGAGCTTGGACGAGATTTGAAGGCAAACTCATAACTCATCCAATTTTTTTCCTGACCCACCTTGGTTGTACAGTTTGCGACATCATCTGAAGCTCAACTCGCCCAATTTTTCTCAACTCTCCTTGGGAAGTGCATTACTAGCAAGTGATTATGAACATTCCATAGTTTTTAGTTAGAATTTGGTTTTGGAATGTTTATAGATCCTGGCCTTTGTGGGTTACCCAAGGGCATGTTTCAGCTTTTCTTTGGTTCCCTGGTTGGTTTGGTTGTGTTGAGGCCCAAAAATCCAAGGGCTAGGCCCAGGCTTATTCTTGGCCCAGCACAAATAATTAATCACAAAAGAAGCCTGATCCGGACATAAATAGAAATTGTAGGACGCACCTACGTAAGCCATGGGTCATGTGTCACGCCAAGCAAGCATGCGCAAAAGGGCAAAAAATGCACCGACTTTATAAATTCACGCTCACCAACCTATCTGATGCTATTTGGTCCGATCATGGCTTATTGTGGCACGA